GAAAGCAGTGAAAAACCCACATAGCACAGGTGGTGCCGCGACGCCCACCTCCAGCGCCGGGCAATCTGCCTAATTTTTTTTTTTTAATTGTTATCTCCATCCAAATTTTCTTCAAGCCCAATACCAGATTTTCAACTCCCAATAGACTTCTAAAATAGAATTTCAACTTGACATAAGACTCCAATAGCATTCCAAACTGAATTCTCCTTGACATGCATTTCAATTAGAATTCTTCAATACTTCAACAAAAAATTCGAGTCACACTCAAATTCTAACAATTGCCATGTCAATTTTAATCATTAACATTTATCATCCACAATTGCAAGTTCACCCGTGTATGGTAAATGTACTAACAAAATGTCTAGATCGCTCGGTATGTTCCTTTAAATGACAAAAACCAACATCATGTCTCTAATTCAAGCACCTAAAGTAGGAAAACTGAAATCTTAATAGATGCAAAAATCTTAACGGTCAAATTATGCCTATTCACAAATTTTGGTGTTGAAAGCTAAAAATGCATCAAAGTAATTCATCGGTTGTTTTTCGCCTTTTTGGGGGAAACTTTCACGTTTTCTTCTTTCTTTCTCCTTTTTTTTTTTTTTTTTTTTGGAACACCATGCAAAACTTTCTTATGATAAAACATCGTGAACAAATGGGACTATGAACCAAGGAATACAATCAACCCAGTTTCGAACAATCAGGGAATTAGTAGCAAAGGAGGCAAGAATGTGACTACTTTGTTCCCATTCCAACGAACAAAACAACAAGGACCACATCAAACCGCACTTAATTAAGCTACAATGTCAAGGGAAAAGAAATAACTAAAAGATGTAAGATGTTGAACGACAAGCTGGCCATTGCACTTGGCTGCATCCACTTTCATTGCATTATTCGTATATACGAATAAAGAGACCTAGAAAGTGCAGAATAAAAGAACATGTTGGGAATATATAGCCTATTGCAGACACAATGCACAAGATAAACAAGTTCTCTCAACTCATTAACCAATGACAGATCAAATAATCAATCCCAGAAATTAGAATTCAACAGAGTTTAATATATATATCATCAATCACCAAATTCACAGCCTAGCATTTACATATATATAGCGGTGTTAACGAGCCGAGCCCGAGCTTTTTTGGACCGAGCCGAGC